CGTTACTAATCAGTGTTAGGGACTTGATCTACCTTGTTGCCCGTTGTGAATAAGGACATTGCGGTACGAATAGATGGAATGGAAGTCTTATGACACCGGACGGGGGAAAGTGCACTTCAAGATTCGGCCGAAAATATCCGAACGCTTTTCCGCTGTCTTCATGGCTGCATTCAACAAAACGCATGCTGTAAGTCAAGATCTCCTATCTTAGCCAATGTACTCCAATGATATGCTCTTCGATCGGTGCAGCAGAACAGGTTGGTGTTAAAATTTTTTGAGTAGTCTCAATAAGTAAGCATTAAATCTACCCTAACATAATATTTTAATAAGTTTGTATATAATATACCCATCATAAACATACGACTTACGTTTCAAACATAACGACTGAGTAGGGTGAAAAATGATAAGTTAAATGGTGTTTGTCGGAATATTCGTTAGTAAAAATTAGATCACCTGAACAGATGAACATTTCTTTTTAATTTGCCAGTAAGCAGCAGCAGCTCAGTATGCAACAGTGTGCTCCAAAGTCATGCTGATGACTATTGGAACAAAGACGAATTACTAGTGTGTTCGATGAATGCAAAAACAATACACATGTGGTAAACGGACTTGTGAGTGAAATCTAGACTAATGAATTTTATTAATTGGTTTACCTTAAGTTACTTAGCCTTACAAGAGTTGTTTTTAGCAAAAGGGAAACTACCGATTCCTATAAGTAAATCAAATTGGGCACATAACGGGAACAACATCCACTAACAATTCAGTGTCACATATGTATGCCGTGGCTCTGTGATAGATATATCGAATAAAGATATGTTGCACTTTATACGAAGTTTATCTTTAACGTCTAAAAAACACCGGTAAAATATTGCAAGACAGGTCACATTTCATAACCGTATAATATCGCTATGTCTTCTGGAATGACTGTGTGGTGAAAACTGATGCACGTGCTTCCACTAAAGTTAGTGATGATTAAATAGTGCACTATGTATCTACGAATTTGTTTTCCAAATCCACTTGCTATTGCTGCTTGTTTTAAGCTTGACACTAACTTAAATGTCATTTGATATTACACAGTGAGTATGTTAACTTGAGTGGGGACGGAACCTCTGCTATACATTGGATATCCAAATGAACGCAACAATAATTCAATCGCCAGTCAGAGCTACCAGAATCCCGATCTATTACAATCGTTCAAACAGTAAATCACAATATTGTACTTGTCTCAAATGCTTAACTTCTATCCTCTAATTTTGTTATTCGCCGTCATCCACCAGTCCGCGTTACGATCATTCGTTCTAATGCGCTTAATGTTTAGGACGGGGTTGACCAAGGTGAAAACCCGTTAATTAGCTCTTATACTTTTCAGTCTATGAGATAACTCCCCTTTAACCGCCTTGCTCAGTCTAAATCCCATTTCGCATTTACCTTTACAGTGAAGTTTTGTAGCTGATCCGCCACCACTGCGTAGCATCTTATGTAACAGAACGATAGTGCAGCATGCTCGAAACAGTAGACATCTAGCTTCGTATTAAAACGCGGATTAGCTATTTTAACGTGTATTCTTCAGATAGATGCCGTAGACCATGTCTAGTTAGTTTATCTAACAAGCAGTCCGGTAGACGAACTGACTATAATGCTATTGGTTCCATTAGGCTGGTAATCAACCGAATGTAGTAAATACTTTGCTGTTCGCTGAACATTGTTGGCCCACTCGTTCCAAATAACGTTCATGTGCTTCTTACTTTCCCAGTCGATAGAGCAAAATCATCCCGTGGAAAATCTTACATCTGCATTTCATCAAGCTATATGTCGTCGTTTAGGACCTTTCCAATTAACAACCACCCCACGACCATCACATGATTGGTACTTCACTGCATCTGCTGGCCAATTTCAGTCATTGAGCAAAATGGTTTGCATTTACACTGTGTGAGATTCCTTTGAATTTGTTAAGGAGATAAACAGCTCCAACTTACAGACAAAAGCATGATATCATTTACTGTCCAGTCGGTGTTTCTCAAAATTTCATTTTTGAATTTTTGTGCTAATTTGCTCAACGACTGCACATGTCAATGGTATTTGTTGAAAGTTTTCTTAATAGGACTGTGCTGCAGCTTAAAAGTCCTTTTTACACTTATTGGCGCATTGCTCTGCCAGATTGACGTATTGACTATGGGAACTTATTTGTGGCCTCTTTGGTCTGATAACTTGATGACAAAATAGATCTTGGCCTACTAAGAACAAATACAAACCAAATTGAAATATATGTTCGATTTATCGATGACACATTCGTAATTAGCAAATCAGAAAAGCAAGCTGCGCAGTTGTAATTAGTAAACGACGCACATGCGTACCTTCGGTTCTCCTGCGAAAAAGTGTCTAGAGGTCAGCTTTCGTTTCTGGATATAAACATTATCCTAAGCGCCGATGGATTATGCAGTCGGAATATAAACAGAAATGACACATGGACTAAACAGTATACTATATTCAACAACGCCATACCATTGTAGTACAAACGGAGCTTAGTGTAATCTCTCTCCTTCAGGGTGTGCACTATATATGCACACCAGATGCCGTCGATGAGCAACTGCGGAAAATCAGCGACTACTTTATCGGACATTGACACCCGGAGATATTTATTGGAAACATTTGAGTGTACCTAAACTAAAGCCGCCTAAGTGCCTTGCTTCGAAATAACTTTTCATTAATAGACCACTCAAGGAAACTGTTGCCCTTGATGCGTTACCTCGACGCCTAAACGACGCTGTTGAGAAGACAAACTACGAAGATCCTGTGAGATTATTTTAATATAATAAGTCCCCGCTTCTCAAACCCTTCAAAAACAAAATATTTTTGTTGCCTAGATCGGTGCTTGTTTATGAATACTCATGCATCTGTGGTGTAAGATAGGTCGGTCAAACTTCAGTGAGTTAATTCTAGTGGATCTGCTAGCACATCCCAGTGTGGTACTGTAAAAGTGAAATGAAGTCTTAAGGTAGCTCAATCTTGTCGCACCTTGAATACTGTTATGCACCTTCATTTAACGACTTCAACCTGCTCTACACATTGCCTGCACGGTACTCAAGATGCTCCCGCAAACAACGGCTATCAATTGCCGTAACCATATTTCTTCGCCTCTTCATATCCAAGTTATGTATTCCAAAAATATGTGCTTCACGTTTTGTAAACTCCGCCAACTAGTACTATTAATAATATGTGATTACCATTCGAGCTTTTTACTTTTTGTCCTTTAAGTGATTTTCAATGCTTTTCCATTCGTCGACTAAGTACCTTAGTAGATTCTGTGACGTAGGTTAACGGATTCCCCGTTCGAAATGCATGTGATCAATACTTACCACATTCCGGCATTTCTACATTTAACACATCACGTACACGTAAGAGGTCAATGAGAGTTTACCCAAAAAGAGTTCTTGCCTCACATTTCAATCTCTGCTTTTAAATAAAAACAGTGAAAAAGGAAATATTTGGGTGTTACTCTTCCCAACACTGGCACACCACGACCGCGGTTTCGTCCTGGTTTGGCCTCGTCAGGTGGAGATAGCCTGAGCTGGGGTGGAACTCAGAGTTTAGTAGTTGATGGCTGACGCCCTGAATACTATGCTACTAAGATTCGCGAGCAACGCTTGGCACAACGGAAAGTAATTCAAATCTGAATTTAGGCAGCACGCTATGTAGTTGACTCATAGTGTGCCAGTGTTGAGAAGAGCAACGCCCAAATAGTTCCATTCAGGATACGGTTCTCGAGATCGCAATAACTGAGGTTTACCTCAAAGTGAGCCGAGGTCTCAATAGAGGTTGTGAGTCGCAACACAACCACAGAGCGTGCTCCCTAAATTCAGCTTTGAATTACTTTCCGTTTTACGAAGCGTTGCTCGTGAATCTCAGTAGCATAGTGGTCATCGCGTCAGCCATGAACTACTAAGCTCTGAGTTCCACCCCCGCTCAGGCAATCTCCACCTGATGAGTCCAAACCAAGACGAACCCGCGGTCGTGGTGTGCCAGTGTTGGGAAGAGTAACACCCAAATATATCCATTCAGGATACGGTCCTAGAGATCGGAATGACCGAGCTTGGCCTCAAAGTGAGCCGAGGTCTGCATAGAGGTTGTGATTCGCAACCCAACCACACTGCGTGCTCCCTAAATTCAGCAGTGAAAGAGGAGTTTTGGTTTACTAAAATTCTCGCAATCCATATGCATCCATCGAATCTGTTACGTCCATCTCCCATTGTTGTTCTAGCCCGATCGATGATCCATAAGTTGACTCTAATTTGACGCTACCTTCACAACTTAAATAAGTGGTAAGTAGGGTAAATAAAACAGCTTAAAACTCAAGGTTTATTTCATCATTTTTATTTGCTAATTTGTTCTTAAAAGGAGTACGGTTGAAATGTACAGCCAAAAGTTAACACCTAACAATCCGTCCACATCATGAAGTAAAATCATGTTGTACTGCAAACGGCTGAACGGCTGAACACCATTTTCAAACCCAAGAAAACAACAGGCAAGTAACGCTCGCTTCGGTATTATTCATCCGCTTAAATGATGCGTAGGGGTAACAGATATATGCAGGAAATAAGCTGATTAACAACATGTGAACTGTAGTTAACACGCTGATGGTGACCGGTCCATACAGACGATATCATAGTTACCTACTGGCGATCAGTAACTGTGACAGGTTATAGTTACTTGCAACTTGTATCCGTAAACATGGCTTGATGTGTCGTGATATATTGTGCAGTTTCATTGATCTCAAGCTGTCCTCTGTAAAAAGTAGATTCAACTGAAATGTTATGGTAAAACTGAGCCACTCAATGGCTATGTGCTGATCAGTTGCATCGGTAAAGTGGGGATTAAACAACGGGTTGTGTTTCACAACGTGACGCACGTTTCTCATAATTATGAGAAACAGATAACGTGCCAGATAGTGCAGTATGATGTGTTAAGCATGCCAGGAACTCTGGTTGATGGCCAGTGCTTACCTTACTGTACAATGCTCTAGCCACGAGTTCTGTGTCCAGAAATGCTGCGAATATTCCAAAAAGTCCAAAAGCAAGAGAGAAATCTGCCATTCGCCGTCGAAGCTCTAACAGGCGTCGGCGCCGTCCTAAGTGATATCCTATCCCCTTCGAGAAACGCTCCGTCTGTCGACGGCTTCTCCGAAACCGCATGTCTTCCTCAATTTGATGTATATCCGGCTTGACATTTGGCTGTTTTATGGGCATGTAAGATATCTCAGTTCTATCAATGGACTTTACAATTGGTATTTTCTTTTTATCCTCTGAAAGTGATACCAAAGGCCATTCTTCTGTTATCTGTCTAGTAGTAATGGTCCGTGGTAAGTCCCGCGCTGTGGACATTTCAGGATGGAGTGCAGCCCCCTCGTTGTCGCTATAGTAAATATTTAAAGAAAATGAAAAAATAAATTTCGACATTGAAGTTGTAATTCATCGGAATAATTGTGCAATTTTATGTATCCTCGGTTTTTATCTCAGCAGTGGAATTATATTAATAAACTACAACTAAATTTGAGAAAACCAGATTTTACTTGAATCAATTTATGCGATAAAAATACCAAATATGATTATTTCAAACAGCGGAAAATAAGAACAGACAATTGTGAATAGTCCTTTTTGGGGGGTTTTAAATATTACATGCATAATCTATAATTTGAGTTGGTATGTTGGTAAATTACAAGCAGAATCTTGTTAGCCAATCATGAAATACAGTTTACAGTTCCGATGAAAGCTGATAGAATAAGAGGAATCAACCCAATAATGCTCAATTAACGTGGCTTACATAATGCGTTAACTCATCTATCATGTTTCAGAGCACATGAAAATTTTTCCCGAATATGTGCATAGTAAGTGCAAAAAACTAAGCATAGTTAGACGAACTGATTGCACATCTAATTATCCCATATAACAGCAGTTTAGGTAGATTTCCTCTTTCAAGTGCATACCTTCCCGATACTTGCACAGTGTGTAGTATGTACCGAAAATCAGACTTGCAAGCTTTTCACGTGCAACGCAAGCTCAGCATTAAATAATGCCTGTCAGGGGAGTACACTCTTTTGTGTCATCCTCTTGACCTAGATCAACCACTGATAGGCGCAATAACATCAACGATGTCGTGCAGTGTGCAGTTCAAAAGCAAAATATCCTGCCAGTACTTTTCCTATCTCTGCAAACGTGGGCAACTGCAATCAGATTGATAGTAAAGCTGAAAATATCAGATTTAGCAAAACGACATAGTTCAATAACAGTGCAGCTCTATGTCTTATCCTCTTCTGTGTTACATATGCAGGTTCGAAATACCTGACAGCCAGCCTCTGCGTTTTCATTTATGTGAAAGTCAATCGTGCTCTCAGCAACCTTAATAACACCCATACCTTTAATACTTTAACCACCATACATTGCAGCATTTAGTTATAGTCAAGGCAATCAATTATCGTCGTTTCGACCTCAGTCGTGAACACGAATTTAGCGGTTCCAACTCGAAAGCGTCAGTAAAATGTGTTCTGATGGCATGACGAACTGGTTGTTTACAGCGACGTAGAGTGTGTGTGGTAACTTTCTTAATCAGTCAAGTTGAGGAAAAGTCTTACATTAAGAATATCGGTCGCCATTATTTTCATCCAAATTCAGCACGTTGAGCTATGTATCGTAGACAAGGTCTGAAATAACCCTCATCATCTTAACTGAAGGCGTGTACGATTTCGCTGCACTAAGCGAGATTATGTGGGTACGTACATGTGCTTCGTACATATATATATGTATATATATATATATATATATATATATATATACAGAATTATGGCGAAGCATAATGGGGAAGAAAATTGTACCTTGAGCAGAATGCTTTTTGTCAGTCAGCTCTGCATATAACGATGAAGAACGGTTATCAAACATATCGTTTATATAACAATAAATATTCCCGTTTGACATTATTCATGGAAATCATATTTATTGGCAATGGTTAACAAAATGTACCCTTATTAAAGGTTTTTAACTAGCTATGTTACCTGTCGTGAAGTTTTAATCAAGATCCCAACTAAAATGAGTACTAAGATATAGATTGACTAAAATGTTTGCTAACTGTCAAGAATAACTGGCCAAAGCTTTTTTAATCAACGATAGGAAGCCAACTATTCCTGGGACATAACTGTATGATAAATAAAAAGAGATAAACTGGAATCTAGATGGAGCAGTGTTTTTGTCTACTTTTGCGAAGCACTAACCCAAGCTTCGAAAATGTTAATGGATACTGGGTTTTAATAATGAATATGATAACTTTGGCTTACACTGCGTGTGAGGTAAGGGCATCACCGTGTTCCAGCTGAGTCAAGCATTTCGACTCGTTTTGCGACTGATGCTGGCGACTCATGAGTATCATTGAGACCCGTCGAATTCGTGAATCCAATGACGGTTCCTCGTCCGAATGGGTGGGACGTTTTGGCACTGCTGGGACTAGATGTGATATCGTAGGAACTTTGAGTGAGTTGTCCGAAGTTCCTTCAAAGGATGTTGCCTCAGCCTGTGCATGACGCAACAGTCGTTTCTCTGACCTCTTACTGCCAATAACCTTGACGTCCTTCTACAATTAAAAAGAAGTTGGGACTCACACAACAAAGTAAGTCGTGAATCAAAATCTCCAAATAAAACTACTCGGTTTACTGTTCGTGGGGAGTTTTGTTTGGCCTTGCGCGAAGATGTGTAAACATGTAGCTTGATAAAATAAAACCTTCAAAACCCGGCGGTGAGTGCAAATTGACTGTTGTTGTTGCCTGGTGAACCATCCTTTATTGTACATGATCTGCTGTGGACCTATAAATTGGTTAAACTTTTTCGTGCATAAGCAAGAAAATCGATCCAAAAATATATTGCTTCCATTGGGAGTGATGTAGTTGCTTTCTTAACATAGTGAAACCAAGATGTTGGTCACTCTTTGCCAAGTGTTCAAATGTATCAAATGCAAATGTGTATAAATTTGTACACAGTATAGGTAAACAAACTTTTGTGCCTGTGTACATCTACACGTTGTGTCTGAAGGGGTTAACTGAAGTAAATCCCAGTTACCAATGTCATCCTACTCTGCCGTTTATTGCAAGCACTACGAAGTACAACAAAGAAAAATCTTTTTGTCATTTACGGTCATAAAGCCAGAAGGACTGTCAAATGGAAAGTTATAAAATATTCTGGTGACATGTCCTTTGGACAGAATGAAAATAACGTTCATCCGCGCCAACAATGTAAGTTCATTGCTAGGAAAAAGCGCTAAACTCACAACTAGTACGCAGCGATTGTAATACTTAAACACATGTATTGGTACATTAAAAGAAAGCTGGTTGCACCCTGATATTGAAGGTGCAATCATAAACACAATTGTATACCTTGCCACTAGGCTTGATCGTCAAGTGGTGGAGGCGTCACCACATACGTTAACCAAGTTGGTGGATGTGAATCTTTCGACTATCCACAGACTCTGCAAATCCTAAAAGCTATTTTTTGAATGCAAGCCTGAATTTCTCTGTGGTTTGCAATCTTATCTCGGAAAACTTCTATATTTCTCATGGTACCTTGTCGTCTGAACTGTGGCTTTTACTTGAGCAACTTTCCCGTTTGCTGTCGCCGAAACTAAGTTGATGTGCTTGCCTTGTAGCTTGGTATTTTGAGACTTATGATACAAAGTTCTTTAAGACAACTGATATGACAAATCTAGTATGTTTTCCGAGCAAACAAGGCACACACTTGATGTTGCTTATACAAACAAACTTTGTTAGTTTTCCATGAAAAAGCTTGCACAACGGAGTAACTCAAATCATTGTATTCTAAAGATTTAAGTTATCGTTTGTAATAGAGTTATGACGAAATGACAAAATAATCTTTCATGACTATCAGCAGACGTATTTGCTAGGCGGAATATATCGCACTGCATCAAGCTACACTCTTTTCATCTTACGAGTTACGTAGTCTTTTGCTTCCAAATATGCAGCTCTAAGAAGACGATATAGCTGAGGAAAGATAAATTTGCTTCATCCCTGCAAAACCTGCTTAAATAGTCAAGATGTCCATCGACATCAAGAGACTGACTTTGGCAATTACAGTCCAAATAAAAAGGCAAGACAAGTGTTACTTTGCGGCGGTATTGGTATGCGATAGCTGCCGGGATCTCTGCAGTCTGTTGAAGCACATATATGGTTAAAGTACTATTGGTTTGACTGGGATAGTGGATGTTAACCAACTCAAATCGGAGTTTAGTTCCTCTCTGTCGAGCGTTTTTCCATTAACATCCTTCATTAGCCAAGGCCCAGCCGCCTATATGATCAAGTTTGCATCAGAAAAGAACGCAAGAAATTGCAGCCAACTAAAGTTGTTGGCCTTTGATTGGTTATAATCTGGGGCTTTGAAGAAGTACACCGATTTCCTTACATTACTCCCCTCGAATGATATTTTTTAACAAGTGTCTCTAGACCGCTCCTATCCCTGACATATCCCTGACATATCAGTCAGAATAACACCAGTTCCTAGAAAGGAACCTCGAAACGTATCAGCGTATTACTTGTACTTTCGTGCTCTTAACGTCCTCAAAATGCGACTGCTTTCAAGGTATGCAACAGCAATTCAAGCAAGTGACGTCTAGCAGATTACTTTTCGACCCCACGGCTTTATGCTAGATGCTGTTATGTAACTTGTGCATGGTGTGCCGTCTGCGTTAGATGGAACGTATAGGTCCGTACGGTATGTTTGTTTAACCCTCCAAACACATTCCGCAGTCTTGACCGATCAGTTCTACTTAACCTACTTCATTTGAAGGGAGCGCACAATGACGGTTGCAACATTTTGCATGAACATTTTACTGAGATTGTGCAATTTACCAAGATTAACGGCAAAAGCTCCTCTATGCTCTGCGCTGTATGGGTGTTATGAAGGGTATCGATCATCTTACCATTTGATTATCTTGCTAGTTCGAAAGTCTCCCCATAATAACAATCTGCGCTGGATGTAAAAATGTGGACGATGTGGTCTTGGGGTGCAGGTGTCCATACACTGAGGTGCATAAGCTTTATGTGGTTTAGAGGAATTGTTGTGTTGGTCATCATCTAGGTACCATTACCTTAATGTTTTGAAATGTATTGATGGAACATTTTTATTTCTCCGCCGTAATAAATTGCGACTTATTTTACATGCTCTCTATTAACTTTAGAACACAAAAGCATGCTTATTTCATCCACTAACAATTAACTCAGTGTCTATTTTTCACGAAACCACTCTTGGTCCATACAGGTTTTGGAAACGTTTTACAAGGTCAGCAATTATTCTTTGTATGCTTCCCTGGTTAAGAAGTTCTCCGTATTGCGGCTTAAGTTTTCTGTTTTTAACTACATGTATATTCCCCAACCAGTCGTACCGTTTGCCGGTAATCTTCCCTGCACCAGTTAGAATAGACTGTTTTTATTGTGTGAACGATTAAGAAAATATACTAGATGTAATGGCTTATCTAGAAATACCGTTATTGATTTCGTTGTTCTTAATCATTTCGACGCTTACACGAATGTTTACTCTAAGGTCCTAAGTAACCGCTCTCATCCGCTACAAAGTACTATCTCACAAACTTTCCCGTTCTCTTGCACTTCTAAGCATCATTACACAACCTTGCCTTATTTGCTACGCTTTATTTTCAATCCAAATATATAAACGTTTTACGCTTGCGGTTACTTGAAGACCCATACATATTTCTGCATATCTAATTATTCGATTGTATTTATATATATTTACTGCATCCATCATTCTGTGTATCGCAGGGGTAATGTGAATTGTGAGAATGCCTCCATTTAGGTGGATGAAGCATACTTTGTCTTGACTTGACATAAAATGTAAATAGCAATTGCGTCAATTTTTCGCAGATATCTTCCAGGAAGCGTCTAAGTAAGGATGCATTAAGTTGTAGTTATAAAACGTTATTTTTAACATGTCATCAAAGCGAACAATCCAGCGATACAACGTTATCTTTTGTGAATGCGGAAACACTGGTTGACATTGCACGGTGCTGTTTCGGATGCATACCACTTACGGAAACGTTTTCTTGAAATGCGCAATTCATCTGATGCTCCTTTAGGTTGTAAGTACAAAGACAGAGGAAACATTGAAAATTCGGATCGCTTCATTAAATGTAGTTCACTTTAAGATGACAGAATTATGTGTCTATACATCACTGATGATGGTTAAAATATGTTTACGAAATATGAATTCAACTACTGTGTCTGCTAAAAGTGTATGCGCACTAAGATAAACTCACGTTATCAATTACTGCTAAAAGGAGGAAAACGTTGCTTACAAACCATAACTGATCACTCAATTCACAGTAGTGCCGAACAATATACCTCGGAGGCACTTCACTTGATTTTTAGAGCAGCATGGCAGATATAATTAGTCGATGATTATATAGCCAACCGCTTATTAAAACAGATCGATAATTCATGATTACGCCTGTAAATCAAAGTTACATTTGTTTCACAAGTCATAATTAACTCTGGCTTATTTTTTGTTTTCTGCAAATTAGAAAACAGTTGATTGACGTTTCAGGTAGCGTTTCTGCTAATCAGCCCACATCCTTTTGCAACAAGCATTTGTTTTATTCGATTGGTAAAACTCATAAACGTGTGCTGGCTAATTATTAGTCTGAAGTATTGACTGGATTCAAACTGAAATTAATTGATAAATTTGATTACTTTTCAGTGAAAAAATACCAAGCAAGACTAGATTATTATTCTGGGTTCTGCTTGCAGGGACATAAAAACATTATTTGGAGATATTTTATCAACCGACATACCACAAGGTTAACATTAGTAATTTTAATGAGTTTAACATAACCACATGTCTGACACATTTAACACTTTAATGCACTAGGCAACAAAAATGTAATACTTTCGTCGCAGTAGCATTTATAATGACTCCTACGTAAACATCTAATAATGAGTTGAGATTTGAAAGCCATATTTATTCTACTGCTTGGGCCAGTTTATGTGCCATTCCTAGTACACATTGCTGGAAAATTCTATACCACACATTTCGTTTTAGAGTGATGATGGCTCACTCCAAACGACATTAAGTTGCAAAAGAAGCTTCTGGATAATGCTGTGTATGCGGCTGTTATACTCTCGTTCGTCATGGGAGTTATATCAATTGTTTTGTAAAATGTATCTATGTAGCTTACTTAGACGTACAACTTAGTGACCAAGGAAATAACCTACACGTCGGATTAGATGACGTTCCTGGGGTGAAATGCTTCATGATTAAGTAAAACTGAAACGAAAGGTCTGCCAGTTGGATTCGTCATAAGTTGATGGGAACTTACCAACCATATGATGGGCCGCCATTTTTCATGGTTATTACAATGTTATTGACGTGAGAAATCAGCAAAACGTCCGCGGTCCTAGTATTTCCTTTGAAATTCGACGAACTCAAAACTTTGAATACGTCCCAGTTTAGAAACTGGGTAATTTTGATTCATCAGACCTCTCATTCCGAGAGCATGAAGCTTACGCCCAGTCACATAAATTGGCCGCATTTTCTCAAGACTGTGCAACGGATAACGAATTGGCATCCAGCCGCCAAAATTTCTGTCTATAATTGAATGACGGTGCTTGATCTGGGGCTTTCCAAGAAAGCACAAAGGTTATTATCCAGGCAACAAGCAATAGGATTTGCTTAAACGCACAGTAAAAATTTCCTTTAGCAAAAACATAATGCGTATATTTGCTAATTCAAGAGTCAATCAGTTTGCTTTTACCACGGCATTCCAAGTCTCTTATGAAGTTGGGGATTACCGCATGTGAGCAACGAAAACAGCGATTATTTTGAATAGTTCAAAGCGTAGTATCAGATATGCTCTATTGAACAATGGCAGTATATGTGAAGCACTTCCATTAGACTACACAGCGCATCTGAAAGAATCACACAATGTCTCTAAAACAAGTATGTTCTCAAAACTTTATAGTCTGTTTTCAAAAGGTTTGTACTTTCTAAATAAAATCTAATGTTAGTCTTGAATGCAACATGCTTAACAATATAAGAACAACTGTCATTTGCTCAGGTTTTAAGGGAAAGCTTTGTGTTTCTATGCAATAAAGATGTCGTTGCACAGGCTAATTAAACTTGAAAACCTCGGATTACCAACTTTCCTTACGATAGGCGATTGATTTTAAAGGCGATAAAGTACTGTATATATAATGCACCATTTTCTGCTTTTTTATTTAATTCCTGTAATTGTTCTGCAATTTCTAAGTGTATGCTGTTCGTCGGTATACGCGGCTGATACACTTATTAATCGCACAAGTTGATCGCATTATCCCGTAGCATACAACATGGTCGCATTGGTAGTCTAATAAAGTATATACAAGACCATATAGGCGAAAAAGGGCATAATAGAGAAAGGCTTAATACTATTATAACACGAGCTTCTTCTTGTACAGTACTCGCATAGACTAGTTTTTAACACTGTCTCCTGCGTAGTGGGTCACTCAGGCATACTATGATCATTCATGCGCTTATAAGACACTAGTACTCTCTCATTCATGCACCTACTAAGAAAAGGTTGATATTTCAGACATTTACATGTAGAGAAGATCAACCAAACCACACAGGTTATAAAGCATGTCTACTTTAATAACTAGTCAAATTTGCAGTAGATGAGTTAATACTTTTTTAACAACTTTTGTGGAAATTATCCCTCATTGAGGGAGCAGCCAAACTAGCCATATGTTACTGCTGTGACTACCCACAGTGCTCAAGGACATATAGTTGTTTATCATACTGAATTTTATAGATGCATATGGGATTGTGGTAGAAAAATTAAGACCACATACCGTGGCTTACGCAATCTTCAGGGAAGTTATGTACGAAATTTGAACTCATGTCATGTTGCCAACTGTATTTTATGTTGCTAGAGTGGCAGTATCTTTCTGGTATTTAAACGGTTTAAAGTATTTTGTTACCAAGTTAACTTCTGATTCCATAGATCCATTTATCAATCGCACTCACAAGATTAATTAACTGGATAAGCGCACAAACAATATTTTATTGCTCAGGAGAAGAAATCGATGAAGGTGCTCTCATTAGTAGGTCTGACTACCATTGGTTCGTTGCTGATATGTACTTTCGCCTGATGCGCTCTTTGCGGCTTCGCTGTGTTGTACGCAGACTGTGATTAATAAGGCGTTTTGCAACCCCATTTGCAATAGCAAATGTTACATAAAGTCAGCACCGTACTCCTGGAATAAATCGAAACAATCAGTCCTATTCCTGAAAGAGCCGTCATCCAATTCAAGACAAAGTAACTCAAAAGATGCTTTATACAACCGTGTTATATCACTTTCAGAAATTTGCACTATGACTGTGTGCACGGCAAAACTGGAAACAGTTGAGAGTCGCAAGTAACCATAAAGAAGGATCAGAATATTGCGTCAAATTACGTCAAGTAATGTGTACGCCATGTTTAGTAGATTTCGTAACGGGAGTGGTAAGCAAATCACGACGGAAATAAGCTACAAGACGAGCAATTATAAAACTAAGCATTTGCCGTTTAGAAATAACATTCAGCAGAAAATTCTAGTTAAAAGCAAATGCTCAGTATACTAGCTAAAAAGTCGAAAGCCCTTGCGTTCAACTGCTCACCGAGTTTTGACAAGCTCGATTAAAAGTTGAACCCAGGAACGAGCAACCCGGTCTACCAGTGCATCAAGTCAATTTAAACAGTTGAAAGCTCTGTCCAACTTCTTGCTTTAACGATTTCAAGGACTAATTCATTTTCAATCCGGCATATAAGGCAAGACCCTTACTAGGCCAGTAAATAAGAACAGTTTTTGTGGAACGTCATGGATAAAGCAGACAAACGGAATTACTAGTAATGGAAAGCCGAAAGGAAGTAAGATGTTTAGAAGTTACTTTGCGCTTGTAAACGTAAATGCTGCAAGTATAAAAGTACGGATAGGAAAGTGCTTTATGGAATAAAATCTACGCAACATTTGAACTACAAAGATCAATTAAAAAGTTGTATTTACAAGGTTAGCAGCATATTGGAAAGGATAACATAACGATGCGTAATAAAATTGAGAAGTTAAGAATAATGACCAAGTGGACCTTCAAGTACAGGCTGTCATCAAGTGCTCACTGAAGTGTAGAAACTCCCTCTATAGTTTTTGTTATACACCCTAGACCACCGTCGGCAACTTGTTAACACACGTTACATTTGAATGAATTAAGCTAATGTTCCGTGGGGTATGAATTAGAACGGTATAGTTCTGATAATTATAGCATTCGAATACATTCTGTAACACAGATGCTCCATCAGCTAACCTCAAAGACTACTTTGGGTGCTTAAGCGTTGCTTCTGTACTTGGTCTAAAGAGATTCTCACTAGCCACTTTGTTTCAATCATACGACCACTGTTATAGCACACTCACTTCAAACTGGCCTATCACCTGAGGCGATGTACAAAAGATTGCGCGGTAAAGCATGTGGCCAGCAGGCTCATCCCACTTTACGCGATGTGTCGCAGTAAGAACCGTGCAAGAGACTAGGACTCTACACGCCGTATGATCGTGGAGTGTGGGTTGACCTCATCATGATCACATCATGACCACATTTGAGTAACTCTTGCTGAGGCTGCTGCTCATTATGCTCAACCAAGAAGCACACAAGATCACCGATACAAGCTTATAATACCGGGGATGAATTAGGTCTTCCAGCAACCCTATTTTGGACGAACCGTAGCGACTGCGTGCAGCTACTTGCCACTACACGTAGTCGAAGCATACTCTGTATCGAAATTTAAGAAATACTTGGACATGCACTTTACTGTCATGAAATATGCAGAATGTTTTACAACATAAGGGGCACTGTACCTGAGGGATGTTAGATGCAGCAACAAAGGTACGTCTGTTTTTGTTATTGCCATCCACTATTACGATTTCACAAGTGCATCATCAATCTTCCCAACATGCAGTTATGCCTCCATCTAGTCAAAACTCTAGTTCAAGAAGATTAACGCCAGGTACCGATTTTCTTCGCATGTTTAGCACTTGCTCCTAATAAAGCGATGAT